ACAGTTAAGCTTCGGTTTAAATTTTTTTACTTGCATTTTCTTATATGCATTTTCTTATTTTTCTTAAAAAAATAAAATAATGTATATATTGAAACTTATTTAAGTTACCCATTTTCGCCTAGTGTTATAGCCATAACATTTTTTTTAAAACTTAAATTTTATCTTATTTGTTTATTTTACATAAATCTCGTACATTGAAACATGGGATAGCTATGCAACACAAGTAGATTTAACAGTTTTGCTTGAAAACAATTTTTTTTTTTTCGTTTTCATATTTTATTCAGGACAGAAAATAAACAAAGAAAAAGAAACTTTGCCCCATTTATAATGAAACTTATTAACGTTAAGCGTTTTTGTCAGATGATATTATAATTTTTTTCCTTCATTAACTGTTATAGCTTTTATTTTTTTCCATAATTTGTATAGCGAAATTTACTTCTGGATTGCTATTTGGATCATAACTGACATAGCAGCTTTGAAGTCATATTTTTTCCTGCATTTTCTAATTTTTTTTTTTTTTTTTCTAAACGGAGAAAGAAAGAAAAAAAGATAACTTTTCATGCTAAAACTTGTTATAATTTGCCATTTTCGATCGATTTTAAAGCTATAATAATTTTACTTTTATTAGTTACGCAGATACTTATATTTTATTTGTGCAATTTGTATTACTTTTTAGACGTTAAAATAAAAATAAGTATTAAGAAAATGTAAAACTCAGTTCATTAATATTCAATCTTACCTAGTATTTCACTTCAAAATATTATATCAGAAGACGTTTATCATATAATTAAACAAATTATTATTGCTTATATTTATAATGTTTTTTTATAATTACGACACCATTAAGCTATACCAAATTTAACTATTTCGTTTCTGATTTCCATGAGTTTTTAAAACGGGACCTTTTCAATTCTTAAAATAAAAATAAATAAATAAATAAAAAATTGTGACTACTGATTTTATTTTTATTTATTTTTTTTATTTATGCTGTTTTCTTTTGCATAAAATAAAGTTTATATTGAGTGCTCAATATTGAATATTTTCTTTTTACTATCAAATTTTGAGTTGCATCTCAATCCAAAATGAATCTTAGTCTTTTTCATTCATTAACAGTTGATATTTTTAGTTTTCAAGAATAGTCCAATACAAACATCTCAGTAGCTTTCAATTCAAATTAAATCTTAGACTTTTTCACTCATTAACGTTTGGTATTTTCAATTTTCAAGATCTGTTTTAACTGTCACAATTTAACAATTGAAAAGCTATTTTGCATTGCTTAAAAACAAAATATAAATTTAGAATTTTGTGTCCCATTTCTAAGAGTAATTTTGCTATTAAAATTTTTCAAGGAATTTTCCCGGAATTAAAAGGTAATTGTTTCGGTTTTTTGCAAAAGTACACTTTAAAAATTGTATGTACATTTTACAATCCATAAGTAAAACAACTTTCAAGTTCTTAAAAAAGCTAACAAAACTTTTTCGCAATATTTATTATTTTTTTGTTTATATATTTATTTGTTTTTGACGAAATCTAGTGAGATCGTTTGAAATATGTCATTGAAATTTGAATTTTTTATGAACTTAAAAGAACTATTATTAATATCTTTAAGGAAAAAAAAACATTTAAGTTTTATTCTTTTATCAATAATTGAGCATTTAAAAAAAAATGTAACTGTAAGATGAAAAAAGTTTTTCTTACATTTTCTCTTATTAATCGAATAATACTGTTTATAATTTTCATATGCAGTTGGTAAAAGAAAATGACTAAAAGATTAATAAGATTTTTGTCCTTATGGATTATCTTATTATCAAATGATACTGTATATAGTTTCATTAATTTGATAAAGAATATGACTAAAGATCAATAAGAGTTTTATCCTTATAGCTTATCTTATTAATCCATTGATACTGTTTATAGTTTTTATTCATTTGATAGACGATGTGACTAAAATATCAATCAGATTTTTGTCCTCATGGATTATCTTATTAATCGAATGATACTGTTGATTGCTTTCATTCGTCAAGGAAAAAAATCCTAAAAGGCTGACTCGATTTTTTTTTCTTTCTCTATTATATTTCATTAATCGAATGATACTGTTGAAATTCAGTTATTGTTATTCAGTTGTTGTGTAAAGTTTATTTCAGACATTTTTGAGCGAAAATCCTGGTGATTAAAATCCACCCCGAAGTTTAAGATTTATAATCATCTTTTTTTTAATGCAAAATAAGAATAAATGGCGTAGCGAAACTTCTGCTCTTTTTTAAGTCTTAAAACAGCTGTTACAAATCATTCATCTGTTGTTTTTTGTAATAATCATATTTATCTTCATAATGTTAGGAAAGGAAACATCTGTGCTGAAACTTTATGTCTTTGATTGTATAAAAACTCATTTTCATCGAAAAATCCGTTTAAATGAAATAGCAACCATTTATTAAGTCTGCTGCATACTCTACTAAAATACTTATTTTGTATGTGTGCAGTGATGCAGCTGTTTCTTTTTCTTCTTGCTGCTAATTTATTTTTATGAATGCGATAGTTTTATTTGTTCTGAATCCTTTGGCAGTTTATTTTTTTTTTGTTTCGTTCTGACTTCATTAATTGTAAACATAAGTTATGTTCTTGTGTTTGAAGTAGGATTACGCCTTAAAAGAAATTTTACAGATTAAATCTATATCTTTATAGCTTAAGTCTGGTCAGACAAAAAATTCTTTTCTGGAACTAGTTCATCAGGGACGGGAGAAAAAAGTATTTATTTTTGACTTAGTTGACATAGTTCTATCTACAGTTAAATATTTATACTTTCTCAATTGGAACTTAAGTCATTTCATATATATACTTTCAGAACTTAAATCATTGGTATATTTATACTTTCTAGATTGGGATTTAAGTCATTGATTACTAACATTATATTTCAGACTAATATATTTCTTGTTAATTTTTCTATTAACTCCTGATGAAATAGCGTTGCTTCGTATCTATTTTACGTTTTTGTATTAGTTTTAACTAGTGGGAATTCAATCTCTTATTGCTTATTGATTAATTCTCCTTGTAATTCACTTGAAATTTTTTTTATTAATAATTCCACTTTTATAAGAAAGATTATATATTTTTAACTGTACTGCAGTTACATATATACATACTTTCTGAATTGAAACTTCATAGTCATTAGTTTAATTATTTATATATCAAAACGAATCATTGATATTCTGATGGGTTTTCCATTATTCTTGGTGATATAGCTTCTATTGGTATTCTGATGATGTGGCATCCGTTGTACATTTTGTTAATCGAATTTTATTTTAAGGATTGGTATTTTAATTATGTCATAGTTCCTTAAGTCATTTAATTTTTTTTTTAATTCACGTTGTTTTCTGTTTACAGTCGCTAACGCTTAAAAATCGTAGAAAGGGCTCTGAATTCCTATAAGACCCAAGGAATCAACCTAGACGCGAGGAAAAATTTTCAGATTTCAAGAAATTAAATTAATTTTTATATAAAATTCTTAAATTGATATTTTTTTTCCACACATAAAAATTAGTCAAATCATATTTCTTATGATATTTGAAGCCAGTTCTTTTTACGAAACATTCTAAAAACCAGTAAAATATTAAGTAATAATTTATAATAATAATTTAAAAAAGTAGTTTACATGATTTGCGATGTCGATAGCTTACAGACAGTCTCTTGATAGTGGTCGATCTAAGATTTTGAGCTTTCATTACAAGCCTCAGCTCATTAAAAACATGTAAACAAATAGTAAAAAGATAAAAGACAATAGACATACGACAAGATGAACTTTACGTCAGTTATAAATCATATAGATTAAATAAGACGTTTTGTTAAGTTGGGAGTTGACTATATAGGTAGTCCTAAATCTGGTATTGTATTTTTCTTTTCTCCATAATTTTTATACACATAGAATGAAATAATTTAAGAACTGATTAACCTTGGGGAAAATATTAAAGGGTTCTAGCATATCTTTCTTCCTTAGTCTGCCTTTTTATTGGTATGTATATGCACTTTTATGATTTAAAAAGAAGGGTGTTCTAAATTTTTTTACAAGCATGCCACGGAAAGATATGTTTATTAAAGTTAATAATCGATTCTAAAAAATAATGGTTCGTAAAATAATTGAATGTATCTTCTGAAAGTTTTGTTTTTCATCATTTCCTACTGTTCACTTTCAAGAATATTTTTCTATGCACTTCTCTTTGATTCTTTCGAATGTCTGTTATGTTTTAAATTGGAGTGAATTTATGATATCGTTTATTTCAAAATATTATAAATTATTATACCAAAAGTAATTGGACAAATTTTACTTTGTGTTAATTTCTTGTGGACAAAATATATAATGCTACTTTGCTTTTTCTGAAAATAAAAGTATATCATTTATACAATACTGTGCCATTTTGCACCATGCTTTAAAACTATGCTTAATATCTGTTAGAGATTTGCATTACGCTCTCTATCATTATTTCGAATTTTTGCTGGAAAATTTCTTTTTACTTGTAGTATATCAGACACAGATTGAGATGAAAAGTAGGCTCATTGAATATAATATAGTGTTTCAGACACATCAAATGACATTTGCATCAAATTTAGATGCAAAAATAGACATTTCTTTATTATAGTATATCAGACGCGGGATTCGATGCAAAAATAGACAATTATTTGTTATAAAATGTATAGCAGTCTCGTGCCATTTCGTACCTTATCCTTACGTTTTAGATAAATATCTAGTGGCTGATGAAAATTTACTTTATGTTTTCTATCTAATAATTGTTAGCCATCAGATAATACTTTAAACTGTGAGTGTCCTCTTACTTTTGGTATGATCATGTAGTATTTTAATCGAGTTTTTTAGCTGTTAAAGCTGTTTTAAATTATTTTGCATGTTGGCTAAGTATATTGGCTTTTGGCCTAAAGTATATTGGCTTTTGGCAGATTTTCTGCTTCCTCGAATAGATTCCTAAAAAGATGTTTTTTGTTGTCCCTTAAAGGGCTGCGGGGATATCCTCTTGAGTGACCCCCAGTTGTCTCTGACGCCGGTTCTGGTTGATACCCAAATCCAGAGACTGTCCGAGACTACGGAGAGCATGATCCCACAACTACTGATGCAGCTTGACCCTAAACTTCCCAATAGCAAGAAGAGGATGAGTAAAGAATTAGAGGTATGGGCCATTTTTTGGCGTTTGCCCTCTGGCGAGATTGTCTCTTTTTCTTTCATTTGTTGTGCTTGTGTGGCTCAATTTTTCTCTTTATTCTCGACTTTGAAATATTTAAATTTTTTTTCAATCTGTTTTGAACTTGTGTTTATGCCAAATATGTATGCCAAAAATAAGTACGTAATTTTTTGCTCAACAAATAATAAATGTTTTAAATTATACTTTAATGAGGTTTATTACATTTAGTATGACTCAGGATTGGAAAAAAAGGAATACCCAATTTTTACGATCGGTTTTAAATTTATTGCCAAAAAAGGAACATTAATCGTGTTCGCGAAGTATTAGTTTAAGTCAAACATAGATCTGGTAACTTAAATTGGGGTATAAAATTTTTAACTTTTACCATTTGTTTTGAGCTTATTGTCTTTCCCGAAGCATTCGAACATATAATTCACATTGTATGATTTCACCTTTTATGTTTTAACCTTATTGACTTTCATGAAATATAAGAACATACAATTTGCATTGTATGATTTCACAATCATTAAAGATTTGTAAAAATGATTGTTGTACAACTTGTTTGTGCTATTCGCAACGCAATGTAAAAAATATTACTAATTTTGTATGAGATTATGATCGATATTTCGATTTTGAACTTTATTTCTTTCAAGTGTAAAGGTGTGTATTTTTTTCTTTTTCATTTTTTTTCACAAATAGTTGGAAAATAACTGCTTCATTCAAAAATTATGTTTAACTTTTACCATTCTGATATTACCGAAGCAGTTCAAACTTTTTGTTTATATAAATGCATTTGATGCAAGTTTTTATTTCCAATGAACAATCGCTGAAATTATTGCTTTAAGTTAAATTTATGTGAGATAGTAATATTTAAAAAAAACGCTTTGATCTGAGGGGATATTTACGATGCCATCTACTTTTATCGTTTTGTTTATTCTGAAATTGTAAAAGTAAATAAAATTCGATTTTTTTTTTTTAGAAAATACTTCTTTTTTTTTTAAACATGTGTGGACTGGTCTGTACTTTACAGGAAAATATACTTTTAAAAAGATTAAAAATTGCTCTATTCCTTTTAGAAAGAAAAAATAAGTTTTGCATGTTCATTAACAGTTTTTTCTGATTTTCTGAATGTTTTAGTTGTATTATATTCCTTGCATTCTTAAAATGCATTCTCTTCAATTAAATTGTTTTTTAATTGTTTTGCATTTCTCTTCCGTTTGATATTATTCTTATGATATTTTTGCTCATAATTCGCGAAAGTATAAAATGCTTAGTTTAAACAAAGTAATAACTTTTTTATATAAACAATTTTCTTAATTTTGAAAGTGTACTAACTTTTTAAACTACGAAATATATATGTAAGGAATATTTTTAGTCCGAAAAATTCCAATTCGTAAAAAGAAAAAAAAAAGTCAAAGTAACTAACTGAAATTGGCAAAATTTTGTATAGAAAGGGATTCGTGTAACGTTTTTGTGTAATTTTATTGTTATTGCCTAGTAAATATTGTTATGGAAATAGTAGTAAAAATGAAGTTTCTTTCATCTTTATATATAAATATCGTTATTTGAAAATTAGTTATTAAACGTAAATGAATATCTATTGTGTATGTTTACTCGATTTTAAACGAACGAATTAAAACTTATTAATTTTGCATCTTAAGTAGTCTTTAAAGTCATGCACGCAATCAATCGTAAGTTCCAGCTTTGTTTGTTATTGAGAAATCTACCGAACTTAGTTAGAATGAAATTTGTTTTATCTTAAGCATAAACCTTCTAAAATATTGCGAAGTTCTGAAGAAAAAAAATCGTCCAATCGATACTTAATGTATTCTAAAGAAATGTTCATTGTAAAAACACTTTTAACTACTTAATTGGGTTTTGTTTTAAGAGGAACTTGATTATTTAAGAGAGATCGCCCGCGAAGAATTAATCTCATCCCTAAAAGAAACATAGCTTGCACATAAAATCAAAACTGAGTAAACACTGACTCTTGGTTTTAAATTTAAAAGCCTAGATTTAATCGGAATAAGTCTCCAGCGCTGAATATTAATGCTGCAAGAGAAAACAAAAAAAAAAACGAGTTTAAAATTGAGAGTAAGTTCAATGTATGTTTTTAGAGCTCTTTTCTTTCAAAAATGGAAGCTCCTTTTCTCATAGACAGTTGGCCTAGAGGCCATATCCGACCTGCTTTTAATACATCCTATTTGCATATCGATTTCTCTTTGACGCCCCTAAAGGATCAGCCCCATTTCTTTTAACGATAAAAAAAAGCGTATGCGCCCTGAAAGAAGAAAGCTCTGGTCGAAAGGGCGGGATAATGGCTTGACAAGTGGGATGGTAAAAGATCTTTTTGTTACTGGAATAAGAGTACCCAAAAAATATATCCAATAATAAAAGCATATTTCTTTGCAATGTCATTTGACAATGAGGTTCTTGTTAACTACCTGCATCCTCAGAGATATTTCTTTTACCACTAGTTCTTTCTATGATTTTTTTCCCCTCACCATAGAAACGCATCGTTGCACTGCTTGTGGCTTTGAACTGACTTAGATAGTGGGCGTGGGCATGCATATGACAATGAAACCTGGACAGGTGGGCTTGAGTCTCTTTTGGAGTTTTGAAAGCTTTGTAATATAACTGCATATTAATTGTTACATTTTGTATGAAACGATTGGAAAGGGTTTTGTTCTGGAAAGTTTTTTTGACAACCAGCGGCGCTTAAGATGTGCAAAGATTTGTTTGTGTTAGAAGTTGATTTGAGATAGGAAAACAATTTACAAATGGGTATCTTTTGCTATAAAAAACACAATAGGGTTTTACTTATCAACTTTTTTCTTTTAGTTTTTTCCCCCCTTTTGTGTGCAATACCCACTGAGCACTTGTATCAAAGTAATGCATGTGTTGCTTTGTATTGGTGCTATGAACACAAAGTTGCATGCTTTATTGTATGAAAGATTTTCATATGGTATCATCGATCATTATTTTCTTCAGAAAGAATAAATAATTAGCTTCCAAGCTCTGTCTTTTTTTTTCTCTCTAGATTCTCAACTACTTTAGTGTTTATTGTTTAAACGAAACTACAGTAAGACAAAGTTGGAAAAAATGTTTCCTTTTTTTTTTCATGATAAGATGCAACTTTTTTAACAGAATGAGTTAGAAATAATAAGATTTCTTATTAATTATGAAGCGTTTGACTCTTATTTAATCAATATATCTGATTTTTTTTTAAAGAAAAACTGAGATAACTGACAACTTTTTCGAAATCTAGTAAGGTCACATTTTGTAATTTCTCAGTAAAACCCATGTAAGAAGTTTTTCGTAAGAAATGAAGAAAAAACTTCTCAAACGGTCAAACTTTTTTAGCGGGTTGGCTAAAATTATAAATCTATGCTTTGAGATTGATATGCAGAAGTTCTTGTTTCTTTAAGAATGTCATACACGTATTGAGTGATACTTATTGAAATTTAACTTAAGTATTAACACTAAACATACCAACACTTTACAATACAATACAGCATGCAGTAACCGGTCTTTTGACCGACTATAGTGTGCTTAGTGCTAACAAACTGAAACATTAATAAACAAATGTGTACTGAGGTTTCAATAACAATTAGTTTCATTTCTAAAGACTTTTGCATGCTTTTTTCTGGTGATTTTCTATGTTTTAGACTGAAAATTAAAAGTCTGATAAAACTTTTTAACAGGAGAAAAGTTAAAAACAAAATTTCTTAAGAGGTTTGGTTCAGCATTGTACAGATAGAGATAAAATGGTAATGAAAATATAAATTACTTAAACGGGAATTTCATAAACGATTTTTATTGTATATATTTATCTGGTCAACCAATGGACACGAATGCTGATTTGATTAGTCCAGTGGCTATGAATTATCAAAATAGTTGTAATAATAATAAAAATCTCTATACAAACAAAACAAAATAATTTTATGTTTTATTTCTCATAAACTTAAAAATAGTTAAATTCTTTGTTTGTTTTTCCCTTAAAAATTCACAAATTGATACCGTATTATCTGTTTTAAGAATGATGTATATGATATTAACATTTTACAGTCTGGAAATTTATAATCCTCTTCTGTTAATTTTGAACTAAATTATGTACTTTTAAAATCTTTTAAATTGCTCTGAATATTTTTAATTTAAATTTCATACCTTTTAGGTAAAGCATTTAATTACCTAAAAAAATAAACAGTCGTAGTAAAACTATAATTTATTTACCTAGTAAAACACATTTCTTATAATAGATTAGATGATAGTTATTGTAATAGTTATTTTCTCTAGTTATACTAAAATACTGCTTTTAGTTCGGTACTGGTCAGAGTTGCTTTTTTCTGCTTAAAACTTATTTTAACCTGTAGTTTCTTTTTTTTTTCTTTCTTTCTTTTCCTGTCTTATCTAAAATGCGTGGCTATTGTTTTTAGTTGTGTTTAACCGAATAAGCCAGCCATAGCATATTGTGTCTAAAAATTAAGTTGAAATGCCAATAAATTGTATATTTTTTAAACTAACTATCAAGTTCATATTTAACCCTTTGTACCCCCAACTATTTTTAAATACACATATTTACAATCTCCAAAATTTGCAGTAATAGTCATAAAACATTAGGTTGTTCCGTATGAAATACGGAGTATACTCTGTAAATTAATATGGAACAGCGTAATATAGTTGACAAGCGGTAGGTAAGAATTTGTTTTTAAATTTCAAGACAATTGTTTTCCCTCTTTGGCAATATCACCTTAGATGTGACTGTGGATTTCAAAGGGTTAAGTACTACTATTTCATTATTATAATTTAATATAAAAATCTGGATGCAAATCTTCCTTCATATCGATATACATGTACCGTTGTAACTTGTTTTGGTAATTTTGGATCCCATCTAAATGATATCAAAAGGTAATATTATCATTACAATGATATATTAAGGAATTACTACAAAAAAAACTTTTACTTATCCAATAAACTTTCACTAAATATGAATAACTGTATTATATTATAATAAATATTGAATGTTATTAATCAATCTAATAACATTCAAGTCCGAAATTATTATTATTATTTAGCTTACTTTGCATTTTTTTTAAAAAATTGTTTTGTATAAACAAAAATAAAATTATTATTTTTGCAGTATTTTTTGATTTTTTTTTTTTTTTTTTTTAAATAAAGAAGTTCCGAAAATCAGGAACCTTTTTTAAGTAGAGGCATGTTTAATATTTATAAATAGCCTCTTACAATTCTTAAACACTAGGGGGAATTCATTATAAGGCATCTATACGTCTCTTATTATTTGTTCTTTTGTTTTGATTACAAATAAATCTGCTGAGTTCTCACTGCATAATGATGCATCGTTATGTCATTCTCCATTGTCTATTTATTTTTTTAAGCCTCCGTTTTTTACAAGTTGCGGTGATAATTTGCTGAAAGACAATGAGTTCTCTTTTTCTAAATAAGAATAAAAAGTTTAAAAAAAATTCCTACAGTGTACAGTTAATGTACGAGATTCATTGAAGCTAGAAGTCATACATCTTTAGAGACACTTCACAAACTTCTGATCCCTAAAAAAAAAAATTCACAAAACTTATAACGAAAAAACGCACCATTAAAAAAAAATCTCAATGGACGCTTCCTATAGTGTCAATATACATCTTGTATGTGTAATGAAACGTGTCTTTCACAAGATTCTAAACTCTCTCCATCTACCTTTTTATGTTCAAAAATTTGTACATTTTTACATAAATGTATTTATAGTTTAAAAATAAATTATGTATTTCATCAAAAAAGAAACTCCGTTTTTCACAAAAATAGTTTTCACAAAATATTTATATTGGTAATTCCAAAAGCAGAATATCTTATTTTTATTCATTGAAAGGGTGTTCAACTTAGTACTATATCTTTCTTAAACGTTTAGCAACCCTGTTTTTTCCTCTTCTGTTTTTCACCAAAATTGACCTTTGTGTTCAGCATTACTTAGCAAATCACTATTAAAAAATGCAGATGAAAAGCACAGCGTATAGAAATTCTAAATCTACTATTTAGAATATATGGTCAACGTAATTGACCCACAGATTGACCAATTCACAACTTAATTTAAAAATTCAAGTCAAACAGCAATAAAAATAACCCCCCAAATAATTACAAATACTCGATGACCTTTAAACCCCAATATTATTCGTATAATTGGTGAAATAAATGCTGATTTATATGATATGTAAAGTGACCAAAAGTTTTGATGTCCAAAATAATTTTTTTTTTTAAAATCGAGGGGCATTTATTAATGCGAAATATAATTTTTAAATAAGAAAACCGTAAAACAATACCTAAAAAATCACATCGATATCATATATCGTTTAGTTTCTATTTAGATTTTAATACTTCTTATTTTATCACCCTTTATATGCTTGTTTTATGTAATGAATCTAACAATAGTGATATATTTTCTCCTTTTTTGTGTATTTTAGTATGTCATGAACATGCCTGAAGATGACCCAAGGCGGATGGATGAAATTCGGAAGTATGCAGCAATTTATGGAAGATTTGATTGCAAAAGAAAAGCAGAAAAACCTTTAACTTTGCATGAGGTATAACACAATCCTAATTCTCTTCCTCCTTTATTTATTTATTTATTTTATTCCTTTCTATTTCAAGTGACTAACACTTCTTTGTAGCTTAATATCTCCTCTTCTGCGCATGAATCTTCTTTCATTTGTCTTCTACAATTAGAGTTTTAAAAGGTGATTTTTCTTTTTTCATGTTACAGCCAAGATAACGCCAACTATATTAATTTGCTCTATGCTGGTGGAAGAAAATGGGCTTTTGCAATTGACCTTTATTGTTGACATTTCATTTTTATATTATAAGAAAATGAAAAACTCTACTAACCATTCGAATAATATCACACCCAGGAAAACTTTTTCTTCCTTGTGTGCTTCATGACCCCCAGAAGGGGTAACTCCTCTAGTGATGAACTTTATTTATTTATTTATTGTTTGTGGAACATTTTGGTTCCTAATAAAGATTTATTTATTGTAATTATTATTATTAAGTGTATTTGTGTGAATGTTTATATTATTGGGTATGTGTGCCTTATTGGACAACTCAGAGGTAAGCTTTTTTATTCAGACTTTTTTACCCCCTTTACATAAAGTTCAGATGCGACATAGAAGACATTTTTTATAAATCAATTATTCAGGTAAGAAATCAAATTCACGTTGCTGATATATCATCTTTATGAAATGTTTTGAAATATATGATGTTGTTGACTTCTTCTTTGAATCTAATTTTTCACTTTTCAGTTCCAGCTTTCCCATTTCTTATTTCTCTGTTTATTTCTGCGTTGTATCAATTAAAAAAAAAAATAATAGTTTTCCTCCACGATTTTAATCGACTCTTAAATGCTATGGTTTCACCTGTTCTTAATAAACTTTCTTTATCTTCTTTATTATGAACTCAATAATTCTTGTGCAATTATTGTATTGGTAGAATACTAGTTTAAATTTCCGTTTATATTTTCAAATTATAATTCTCTGAATTGTGAAAAAGAGTTTAACTATTTTTGAATTTCTATGTCTTTTATGATGTTATTAAAACTGTTTTATTTAATCTAATATCAAAAATATGTGTTTTTTATGGTTTAAAGCCTGTCAGAGTAATTTTATGGTCTTTTTTTTTTTTTTTTTTTTAATTTTGAACTTAATACCAGCTCTTATCAAAACTTTTAATAACTATTATAGTATAAACTTTTCAAAAAAACAATTTTTAAAATTTTTTAGTCATTTTTATTAAAAAAAAGTTTTTACTTTTTTCCTGACTGTTTTTGAAACGATCATCCATCTAAAAATTATTAAAAAATAGTTTTCAACTTTACTAATTATTATACTTAAAACAAGTAACAATCAAATAAACCATTTCAATTGGTGTATATCCCTAAAAGAAAGTAATGTAGAAAAAAAACACATTTTTCCCCTGAAAAATTAATAATCAAATTAGATTAAATTATATTTTGGTGTCCACTTAATTATTTTTTGTAAGTTGTAAAAATTTATTAATTCATTATTATTTATCTGTAAATATTTTTTAATGTATTTTTTTATTGATAAAATCTTGTAATTTTCTTTTACATTACTTTTACCAGTTGATAAAAAAGTAAGGAAAATAAATTTTGACTAAAAATAAACTCGTTTTGGGTTTATTTTTAAAGGGTTAACCAAATTTTAAACAAAAACAAACGAATGACAAAAAATCCCCATTTAAAATGCGTATTTAATTTTCCTGGGCTTCTGAGCCGCCATGGCGGAACTAGATGAAAAGGAGCCTGCATAATTTTTCTCATACCAATCGATATTAGAAAATAACAGCAAGCACTAGGAAAAAACAGCGAGCGAAAAGAAAAGATGAAAAAAAAGGGGCTGCAAGCAAATGCGTGGAATGAAGGAGAAAAAGCTCTTACGCAATTTCGATAACCGTACCGCCATCTAGGGGAAAGCTTCAAAACTAAACGTTAGGAATTTGTTCAGAATATAGTTGCATCGGGATTTTATAATTTAAATTAATAATTCATAATCAAAATTTGATATAATTTTTTTAAATAGGTATTCTAAATACTTATTAAAATTCCATCGCTAAAATTTTTTGAATTTATCTCAGAAATATATACGTATCCGAAACCTACATAACAACTTAAAAGTTTTACTTGTTCATAACACCTCCTATACTTGTCTTTTATAATTTTTACTACATACAGTGAGGCTTTAATGCATTATTTCTATTAAAAAATTAAACGTAACTATTTTTGTAAGCAAGAACTTATATTCCGCTGCAATTACTGTCACTTAATTGTACTATTTTTTAATTAACATTTTTAAAAGAATATTTTATTTAAGAAAAAACTGAAAATACTGTAACACTTTATTGGATAATTTCTTTGATATTTTATTGATAATAAGTAAATATTCACACACAGATTTGGAAACTTCAGTTCAGCTCTGATTGCTGTCAAAACTATGTTATTATTTACTATAATTTAATAAAGATTCTTAGTTTAAAAGTAAAACTAAAATGTGATTTTTTTTATTTTTTTAAATCCAATTCTGCCCTTTAAAAACATTTCAAAATTATTGTTCTTGTAGGGTTTTTTTACTAATAGTATTCCTTTCGCAAAATGTAATATTTTTAATTAATGATGACCAACTAAATTACTATAAATAAACTATTATATTCACTTTTGTAATAAATTCCTCATTTTTATCGAAATTGTAGAATTTGTAAAATTTATATCATACAAATATTCGTTATAGATATCTCAAGAAGACTTGAAACAGCGAAACAAAAATATAAATTTTTTCAAAATTTAAAAAAGTTTTTATTAAAAATTTAAATTTTTTTATTACTACTACTCAAGTATTTAGTTTTTTTTTTTTTAAGAACTGTAGTTTTGTTTAAAAAATTAAATAAGTTGTTTTGCTTACCTCTAAATAAAGCTACTTATACAAATGTATTTCACTCAACTATTTCATCATATTTTTTTAGCTTATTATCATGAGTTTTTAAACTATTCCTCATTTTAAAAACGGAATTGATTTGTGCATATTATTTTAAAAGAACAAATAATATATTTTTTAAACTATTATTTGTTTAAGATTTTGTTTATTTTAATATTATATGTTTGTCAAATTTTCTGAAAACAACTATACATTTAGGTATTATTATTTAAATATGACGTCCTTTTTTTCTCTTTTGTTGTAAATTATCTTAAACCAAAAAATAGCTTATTTGAAAATTTCTTATGCGAAATTGTTGAATAAGCATTTAGTCGTTTAGATTATATTGTTTTCTTTATTGTTTTTTATTATTTTTGAAAAGATGTTTTATTTGAATTTTGTTATTTGTATTTATTTTTTGATTTCCATCAAATTTTAAAGCTTTTTATAGATTATTATTTTATAAGTTTTGATTTATATATGCAATACTTTGAATAAAAAGTATTTAAATTAAGTTGTCTTTTTATTTATTCTTTGGTTTTTAAAGTTTGAACGTCCGTCCTGCCTTGAAATAACAAATCTTGCTAATAATTTGTTCCCATTAAAAATTATTTAAAAAATAGTATGGCTTTCTGCGAATTAATGAAATTAAACTGTCTTTTAATCAAGACTCTAATCTAAATCAAACCTTTTTAATTCATTTTTTTTCGGTAACTTTTTAAGTACTTATGTCATATAATTTCAAAACTTAACTCTAAAAGCATTAGCAACCTGATAGATTTTAATTTTTTACAAAGAAATTTACAAAACGATTATTTTGCAATATTGAAAACATAAATTTGACCAATTTAAATAAATATTTTTTCCATATTGTTTAAAAAAATTAAACAATTACAAAAGTTTTTTTAAAGTTCAAGTATTTTCTTGTTTCTTCGTTTTTTAAGGGCTTATCTCTTATTTAAATTATGGTATCTATTATAATTTCTTCTAAAATATAATTATCAAAACCTATTTCAACCATAATATTATTAGAAAGGTCAATTTACAATATTAAAATCATAATAAGAGCGAAACTATTGACTGCAGTTATTATTTTTCTTTCCTAATCTTAGTATTCAATCCTTAAAAAATTTTAATTCAATGCAGCAAATCCTGTTTGTTTTTTTAAATTATTATTATTACTGTGGATATTTTCCCAAATGTTTCTCAGGTTTTTAGTTATGACCTCTTTTATTTATATTGTTATTTTTCTAACTTTACTCCAAATATTTCTTCTTACTTTGTGATGGGAAACTTTGCGTACAAATTCCTATCATTTTTCTAAAACGAGATATTGGAATATAGTTTACCTATTTTTGTCTCTCTCTCTCAATCTTAGGAATTCAACCTTGTTGTTTTTATTAAAAATTTTGTTGCAAAATGAGTTTTTCCAATTTTCACTTCAATTCAATACAATGCTTTTTATTATTTTAAGTTTTTTGGGAAATTGCAAAATTTTGTTTTCAAATAATAATAGTTAACATTTAAATTTCACTTTACACAAAATTATAGCATACCTGTTTTTCACTTTCCCAATCTTCGCACTTCAACATAGTTATCAGTGTCCCAAATTAAGTTTTCTTTGCTTCATTTTTTAAAGATTTTTTCTTTTTTTTCATTTTGTTTAGATTTTTTCTTTTATTGTCCCTTTGTTGCTTTACGTTATATAACCTGAAGTTTTCCTAAATTTTCGCTTGAAACGTGACAGTTGGTTTTAATTTTCCCTGTAGTTTTTTTTTTTTCTAATTGTAGTAAATAAAATATCAATGTTTCAAATCGTTTTTTTTTTCCCTTAATAATAGTATTAAAGTCTACGAGCAAAAGTTTTAACATTTCAAATCCTTTTTAATGTTGAAAATTCAATATATTTTTTTCTTTTCATTTATGGAACTGCTATCGGATTTTTTTAATTTAAAATTCAACTCTTTCATTGCTTTGTCTTCCCTATTTTTCGCCCTTTCAATCTTAATTAAACGTAATTTTTTTCTTTTACTGTTTCAAACTTTATCCATTTTAATATCATGAAAAATCATGATCATATTTTAAAATTATTAAAATATTTAAGAAATATAAGAATTAGTTTTAAAAAATTATGCATATAAAATAAAATTATTAAAATTTATAAATTTCTTAGTCAACAGTAGTTTTTTTTTTTTTTTTTTAAGCAATAAATAAATTAAGATTTTTTTAAAAAAAACTAACATTAAAATTATGTGTCTAGGTTATTAATATGAACCCATATAATTGAAATAATTAATCACTTAGATTATCTTTAAACTTAAACGATGCATTTAAAGTTTGATGAATGCTTTTCACTCGAGTTTGAATCAAAATCAAAATTGTAAGGCCTTTGAATATGTATTTTACTTGTTATTTCAATTTCAATGGCAAATTCTTTTTGCTTTAAGTATTTATCGTCGTAATATATTTAAATTAAATTTGGAGGAAAAAAAATTTTAATAAAATATTTAAACATGTCGCGTAAATTTTGCAGGTCTGATAACTAATTTAAGTTATTTCTTGCCTTGAGCAAAATATGTTCTCTTTTTATTCTTTATAATAAAGAAAACCATGTTGTTAAACATTCCAATCGTACCTTAGGGCAAGTGGGAGTTATTTCGGTGTTTCAATAAGAAAGGTATTATTCGAAAACCTGATTTAATGGCCTTGATTTTTATTTACCTAATATTTATATTTAAACAAATTTTAAATTCAGAAGGTCATTTAGTGTTTTTCTGTTTTATATATATATATGTATATTATTAAAAACAGCACGTACGTAATTTTAAGTTTCTAAACCAGATTTAGACAGTTGTGTTAGGTACCTTGAAGAATCAAGTATTTTATTTTGATAGACATTCAGCTAAAAAAATTTCATTTTAAGTCACACTGTCTTTCATTTCAGTTATTTTTCTTGATTAAGTCCGAATAATCATCTAAAGAAACTGACCATTTTATTCACGCAGCTTTCGATTCAGCCAAACTACCTAATTTCTTGCCGAAAAAAAAAGCATTTTGATTTACACCTATTTCAATTAAACTAAATTATTTTATTGTGATTGGATATCTGGTTAAAATAAAATAGCATATTTATTCGTACATCTTTTATTTTACAAGTATTATATCCGATTGCAATGTAAACTTAAAATGCATTGCCCAGCTTTAAACAAAATGCAAAAATTATTTTCCCGTTATCGGTTAGTTGTGAAACTTTGAACTATACCAAAATAATCACTAAACTAGTATACTAATTAATAATATTTTTACTGCGTTTATTTAATATTTTTAGTCATTTTAGCTGATTTGAAACTTAAAGAAAATGAAATTAAGTTAAATCCATGTAAGCTTAAACTTGAAATTTCAAACATAATCGGTTATAGGAATTCGTCATTTACATATCACTCCTTAATTTACACAATTAAATTTTTTTCCTCGCTGAGGAAATCATATTTTTTTTAATTTATAATATAATAGATTGATATGTTTAGTTAATAATTCTAATAATTTTAAAATTTAATATAATAAAATTTAAGTTAAGGTTAATCCATTAGTGCTTAAACTTTAAATCTCAAGCATAATCGTTTATAGGAATCCATCATCGAAAGCCTTTAAAATAAATCCATAATTTATACAGTTATGAGTTTTTTCCGTATTAAAAGTTATTATTTTTTTAAAAATTAAAACTATGCGTAATGTACTGTTTTAGTTATATTCTTAGCTCTATCAAAGTACATGTACGATGAACTTTAAATACGAAATCAGGAATATCGTTCATTTTTTTAATCCTATTCCATCATCTAAATCAATTTTATTAAGACTCGTTCAAACTTTAAAAACCCAAGATCAGATTTTTCTTTCGATTTTATTTCTTATTTTTTGGCAAGATTTATTTAAATCCATCTTTTAAATGTTGATCGTATGTCATAGTGGTTAGAAATTATTATGATTTCGACTATTGTCCTACTATAGAATTCTCTGAAGTGTTTTTTACCCTCTCAAAATTATTTTGTTTATGTTAAAGTAATATATGTTTTTATTTTTGATTTTTCAAATTTACACAATTATTGCTTATATTATAAATAGTAAATTATAACTTTTTTTTAAGTGATGCCTATATTTAATATTTATTGAATAATATTGTTAAAAGAATCGATAGTTATTTTTCTCTCAAAATAGTAATATTTTGAATTTAGAACAATCCGGTGGCAACAAAAAGATCTGACAGTCATCTTTTTATGAGAACCAAAGAAGTTTTCTAAGAAAAAAAATTTACAATTTGGCGATGATATACATTTTTTGCTCCAGAATTTAAAAATTTTTATTAAAAGCAATTTCCGCAAAATATCAACAACTTAAATGAAATTTCAGAATTTTATTTTTTTCATTGGAACAAAGAATGTTTTGGAAAACTACTTTTTCGTGTGCAATAATGCGAAACTTAATGTGATTTAAAATTGCATGCAAGTTATAATAACCGTTATGAATATCTTATCTAGAAAGAAAAAAAAATCTGAATCTATTCCTTCTTTGTCTTTAAATTTGCTATGATATATTAGAAAAACATTTTCGTGTGCATATAATGTCGAATTATATTTAAATAAGAAAAAAATTATATTACGGTTTTTTTTCTCTCTATTCATGCCGTCAATTACATAATTTTTTATAATTTAAAATTTGCCGTCTAATTTCAAAAATGCACTGAGCTTTCTTATTTTAAAAAAGAAAATTAAAGCGACACAGAAAAAAAAATTTTTGATAAGTATTTTTCTCTGTTCTACATTTTTTTTTTCTTGTATCAATGCAGGATGTATCAATAATATTTTTGTGAATGATCAATTTTTAAAATTTACTTTTTCTTTAAAATAAGTGACCAGAAATTATTGATACGTTCAAGCTTATTTTCTTTTATTTATAATCATAAAAAACTTCTGCTGCTACTTATTTTAAGCATTTAAACTAAAATAGTACTTTCAATGACAGTAATTGCAGCTTTTATGAGTAGTTTGTAAATTTAAAAACAATTAAGAAAACTGTTTAAACTAAAAATATTTATGATGCTTTCATATTTTCCCCATAATTACTAAAATAGAATAGCGAAAATTGAAACACGACTCTTAAAATTTCATTTATTTAGACAAGTAATTTATTTAGGATATATATCATCTAGTCATTAACATTATTACTTTTCTTCTTATAATATAATTGGGCTGAAGGAAATTTACTTTTTTCTTTTTTTGCAAAACAACACCAGAAACAAACATTAAATTATTTATTTTTGTAAGTTGAAATCCAACTATTTCAAATCTTATATAATATGAATAAATTACAGACTCGTTTTTTACTATGCCTACTTAATGGGATAAATAAATAATTTGTATTGAATTATCCAAATGCAAACAGAGACCAATTAAATTGTCTTTCTTTAAAAACTTACCGAAAAAGGATAAATTTTCTGAATGATCTTTGTCCTTCAAAAAGAAGAAATAAAAATACCAGTTGCTTATTACCGCATTTCTTTCTCACATAACATTTATGTAAATTCAAACTTTGCATTTAAAACCTTAAAAAGAAAAGAAAATTTGGTTTAAATTCATTTTAAGCTACCTTATAACAATTGGTAATTATTTATTAAAATCTTTTTGCCACAAGTGTTATTGTAATAGACTTATTGATAATTATATTTGAAATATTTATAAGATTAAGTATCAATTATTAAATTGGCGAAGTTTGAATATGCTTAAGAACAATTAAAGGATTAGACTCTAGAATTAAAACAAATGAAGGAGCGAATTTTAAATAAGTGTTATATTTTAACAATTGTTTCGTTATGCCAGTTTTCTTTTCACAGTCAGTTATATAAAATATTTTCAAGATATTAAGTCTTTTGTTGAGGAATTTTACTTTTTATTGACAGTTTCATTGTTCTACGAAAACCGTTTAACCCATCACCGCAATGGACATTATTTTTCTGGGCAAACTAATAAAATTATATATTATTTTCCTTTTTAAAAACAATCTGATTCTTTTCGGCGCTTTCACAAATTAATCTTTCACTTTCTCAATTTAAAATGGCGATTGGAATTTGTGTTTTATATTACGCGATTCATTCGCCAAAATAAGATAATCATTTTGTAGTCCGTCTGCTGTCATAATATTGTTATTGTGTGTAATAATATCATCAGACCGCTTAACTGCATAAACTGGAGCTCTTATTTTTAGTTACCCTGCCTCGGTGAAAATTAATGAGACGTTATTTTAACATTATTAAAATCAAAACATGTTTTTGTTTAAATTTTCAAAACTTGTTTTGTTATAATTCTACTTTTACTCAACTACTCCCTGTGATAAGTGAAATAGTATTAGCAATGTGGTACCATCACAAAAAAAAACTTGTCATTTTTATTGTTTTAGAATAAAAAATACTTAAAAAATTTAACTATTTTCAGAGTTTTTTCTAATTTATCGAAGTTTTTTTTAAAAAAAAAATACACACATAGATGTAAATTTTTCTTTTAACACTTCAAAGGATATGTAGTTTTGAATCTACGTAAATATTATTGGATCTGATTGTAACTGTATGAATTTAAAATTTTCTCTCAGATTTAGAGATCGGAATAACATAGTTATGCAATTTGTGATAAGCTTGTTTCATTTTAGTTTTGAGAGCAATCAAATAAATACAAAAACTAATCATTTTTACATCAGTGAAGAAAAAGGAAAGTGATAAATATGTATGTGTCATGTTAAAAATGTGTTGTCTTTTTGTTAAAAGTAGTGTACAATAATGCCAAAGGAATGGTTCCAGGTGTCTGTGAATGAAGCCGCTGCCCAGATCTGCAAGCACATTCCTGCTCTTCTTACTCGCAGAGACGAGTTATTTCCTTTGGCCAGACAAGTTGTACGAGACAGTGGTTACCAATACTCCAAGGGTCACTCCAGGTTAGTTTTTTCTTTATTAATACATACATCCGAATAGTACAAACTTCTTTAGAACAGTAGCGTGCGTAATAAATGAATCTGATACAGGACATGAAATTTCACTTCTAAAGGTACTAGCCATACTAAAGTTATACTTTACAAAATATCTGAATAATTTTGAAAAAATTAACAGATATGTAGTTTAAAAACTTTTTTAATGGCCAAAATCGCAAAAAAATGTAGAAACAGAAAACTTTAGAATAGCCCGAAATGTCATAATCTTGTTCAAATCTGGGCGCTGAACACGCCTCTCTGTTCGTGTTAGAGAAGCAAACATAAAATTGAATTCTGTTTTTCATTGCAGAGTTCCACATCCCAGTTGTTCATTCCCGAGATTGGGGTTTAATTGCGCGGAAAAAAAACTTAATATCCTCTACCCCAAATTAAAGAATTTTTTCTTTGATTTGTCAACCCAAAGTGTTAAAAACAAGCAGAAATGTTAACACATTAGATGGCATAGATGTCTGTCTTTTTGTGATGAATACCTTCGCGCGTGTTTAATTAATCTCTCTCTTAAAGTCAGAAACTCTTGCTTCATTTCTAATATTTGTCCTAACTTCATTTTTAATATTTATCCTAACTTCATTTTTAATATTTATCCAGTGCAGGCTCTGGAAAAGAAAAAAAAATTATTTGAAACACAATATTTTGCTAGACAAAATTTACTTGCCAGTTCTAAATATTTGGTCGTCATTGGCGAGTGGGAATTTTACACCCTGAAACTTCACAAGTGATGAGCATCTACTTGCATGGGAAGGAAGGGCAACTGGTACAAGATCTTAGGAGCCTCAACCTCCCTGACCCCCTTGACTGACTATTGGCTGTTACATATTTTGAAGAGCAAGAGTTAATTGGGAATATTTTATATATTGTGCTCTTGATTAATATTTAATCTGACCACCCCATGATTTCAAAACCAGTTTCACTCGTTTTGGCATAGATTCTGCCTGGTTTTTACTATTTTCAACTATATATCCCTACGACATACTAGAATCAATCACCAAATGATGCTATTTTTCAAACTGCAGTCCTTTTTTGCGAATTTTTGTTTGCAAAGCTCAGCATATTGTAATCCATGATTGAGGACCCGGAGAGTTTCCCGACCTTTCTAAAGCAGCCAATTTGTTTTTGACAAAATATTCTTTTTATTTATTTATTTTCTAAATTGTGGCAAGGAGCTGAATCTTGTTGAAAGTTTTTATCTTTAGATACCTCTTATTTAACTCAGATCCATTATTATGTTGCACTAGTCCTTGTTTCGTCATTCCTTCAACAAAAATGAGAGGTCCAACTCCATTTTATGGAAAACACCCCAAAGCATTTCCTTATTTTAAATTTGGAAGATTTAAAAATTTACTCTTGATTTCGTTAATACGCACGCTACTGAATGTTGTGAATTAAATGCTATCATTAAAAAAAAAACACGATATTGCACTGTAAAAAAAAAGTAATTTCGTTTAAACAAATTTCTAGTTTTTCGTCATTTTTTTTCCAATTATTGATGAACTAGGTTGTAAAAAATCTGGGATTTCTTTAAAAAATCAATTCAATTATAGTAACAAAAGTGTAATTCCCTTAAACGGATCCTTCGCTATATTCTTAAGCTCTGAAATATAGAATCTTCACTCAAATTTTCATAGTCTGAAACTGATTGTTTCAAATTTTTGAGAATCTAAAAATAGGCCTTCACAAATTCGGGTGTTCTTAACGAAATTTTAATTTTATAAAATTGATTCTTCAACAACATTTTAATCCTATGAGGCAGATAGCGAATCTTTAAAACGTTGTCGCTTCAAATTTGTAGTATTTATTTTTTGGCACTAGGTGAAAAAAATAAATCATAGTTTTTCTAAAACTTGCATTTTCTAACACTCACTAAAAAATCGAAACTTAAATTACCAATAATCTTAAAAACGCGTTTATAAAGTTAAAGAAAATGCTCTATTTTTATTAATTTTTTTTAAAAAAGTTGTGTGAAGTAAATTTCCTTATTTTTTTCCGTAGTTTTTATTAGTTCACATCAGAATTTGTTGTCTAGCTTCTTTAAGCACAATTTTGCTTCAAACACTTTTGGTGTATTACATTTTTAACCTATAGTCTTCACATAAAACTTTTAGCCAAAATTGACTTTTGACTATTAAATTTAACTTGATGATTGCTTGAAATCTTAAAATATGTAGATTTTCTTTTCATAATATTTTCCAATAAAAACAACATATTTTTTTTATTTATTTTCTACTATATTTACGTATTTTGGTAGATTTAGTTTATCACGTACATTTTACAGTATTAAAAAAAATGTAACGCAGTTAAAATACAAAGCCAGAGATATCAAAAGAAAATTGAAGATATTCTCTAAGAAGTGAATTTGGTAGATTTAGTATGACTTTATGTTTGACATACCTTTTACAATATTTTTAAAACAAAATTATCTGAAAACCTGTAATACACTAACTGTTATACAGGTTACTGAACTAATCTTAGCTCAATATGGAACTAGCATCTATATCAGTTATACTTTAAGGCATGAATATCTAAATTTTTAGCTTAAGAGCAACAATGGCTAATTCAAAACCAACGGTTTAAGAAGTTAAGAAAAACTGCTCGTTTTGCGCAGTTTTAAGGGTTTGGTCTATTTTAAGTACAGTGAAACCTCCGTTAAGCGGACATTCATGGGACCAAAAAATTTGTCCGTTTATGAGAGTTGTCCGTTTACGGGAAGGGTACCCTAATAACGAAATTTAACACCGTAAATTGTTTTTAGAATATTNGTTTCACTGTATATAGCTAGCTCATCATAATAACTGTAGTTTGAAATGTGCGCAACTAGTCAACGAGTCAGATATCTTGAACTCTGAGTGGCAGAGAATGTCATTTCTACCGGCTCTTAATTCTTATGACAAATATATTATTAATTGGTATAAAAATTTCAATATAATTATTTGTATATCAATTTTTATGTTTCATCTGATTGTAGTTTTTCAAGATTTACTAACGTTGTGAAAACATAATCTAAATAAACTGTGTTAGAAGTACTTTGAAACGGTCTGAAAAACATATATAAAAGTTGTAATTTTGAAATTATATTGTTTGCAATAATTTCAAACAACTTGTTAGCGCAATTTATTATAAGGCTTTGTATTTCAATGCATGAATGTATTTTTTCTACTTTAATTTATAAGTGCGAAAACGAAACTTATAGCTATACTTATTGTTTAAATTAATTTTATAAAATATTAGGTGTTTGCAAAAACATTTTCCAATGTTTGATTGCATATAATGAATAAGATTGATTATGTACTGAATAATTGTTGAGCCTTGTTCTTTTCAGGAAATACGAGTTAATAATGATAGTAATTAATTATAGAGGATTTTGTCTTCTGTTAATTTTCAATATATATATAAATTAAGGACTGTATAAATAAAAATATATTCAATTAATGACGCTTCAAATCAAAAAAACCTTAATCCTAGAAAAACAGATTCTACCAGGTACAGGGGATCCTTCCAAATAAGTGCTAGGACTCAATGCATATTGTTTCTGTCTAATAAACTGTACACAAACTCCTTCAATATAAATTATTTGTATTATCTTGAAAAAAATCAATTCCTCCTTGAACCATAATATTTATGTCTTTTGGCGTGTTGAACAGTTATGTGATTAAAATTTCTAGAACCTTAAATTGGCGCTATGTTTTCATTCAATTTGAACCGTTCTTATCGTTAAATCAAATTTAAGAAATACGTTAATTTGGTTTAACTTACAACTTAGCGTCATATTAAAAGTTGACGCAAGTTTGAACCAAATATATGGTTTAGCACGCATCAAAATTCCTAACTGTTTGAGTACAAACATTAATTTGTAAAGCTGTAATGATAAAGTTTTCTGGCTTAAAGCTCATTATATTTAGCTATTATATAAACTAGAAATTATTGGGCATTTAAAAGAATTAACCTTCGTATTCTAGGTTTTTTTTTTCATTTGTGAATTATTATTTAATAATTATTATCTTACAATGTTTAGTTATTATAGTATACAATATTTAGTTATTATGGTATTATATGCTTTCAATCCGCCGAATTTTCTAATTATGTTTGATAACTATTTTTAGAAGTAAAATTATTAAATAATCTATGTAAGGCGAGCTCTTATCGAAGTAATTCATTCATAAAATTAATACTAAATTTCCTTTCACTTATTTTTTTTATTACAAACGTTTTAGGTTTTTAAAAGAAAATTCATCTTAGTATTCTGATTTGTTTTTTTTGTTTTTTTAATTTCGATTTTTTTTTCTTCTTTTTTTATGCTTATAAAAATTAAAGAAAAATATAAATCTGTTTAAAGTACATTTACCATTAACCAGATGGTCATTTAATTAGAAAAAATTTAGAGTTTGCCGCAAATGAACGCCTAATTTCTTATATTTAGTTTTATTTTATTACATTAATTTAGAATAAAGTTTAATTGAATGGCGATAATTTTTTATTTTTCAATTTGCTATAACTAATTGTCGTTGGCTCTTGTTTGTTAACGTTGATTTATTTTCGAGACATTATAGCTCTTACATTTGTCTTAAAATAATGAGGGCAATTTGAATATTGATTTTTCTATTGTCTCTTTTTATTAACATTGTAATTAGGCACTAAGTAACTCAAATTTAATTATGTAAAGCTTTATTTTTGTTTATTTGTTTTTATAATTGCTATTATTGGGAATTGGTATATGAAAAAATACGATTGGTATTAGTGGTTGTGTGTTATACTATGCTATTCCAATTGTTGCTTTTTTTTCTTTATACTATCTTATTCTCTAAATTACGAAGTTTATTTTTATTTTAACAAAATAATTTACAATTATATGTTTAAGAGTGGTTTACGAAGCTCTTTTGTCAAGAGGAAAAACCCTGTTTGAGATTCTTAAGATCGAAATAAAGCTCTAGCTTTAAACTTTAGTTATTATCTTGCTTAGACGAATTGACTGGGCTTTTAAAATTGCCAAGTTGGCTATATTTTAATACTTAGTTAAAAATCGTTAAAATCAATTAATTCTCAATTTTGAATATTTTCATGAGTCTAAACAATTTTATGTTAGAGTAATTTTATTAAAATATAACAAAAAATTTAATCACAAGCGCTTTTTTTTTATAAGAAAATTAGTTTTTTCCCCTCATTAAAATTGCTCAATTTTTTATTGCTCGAATTTATATTCCCGACATCCCCCGGGTACGTATTTTTTACATTTACATGCCAGATCACGCATATTAATTCAAACAGATACCGATTAAAAACCTCTGAAACATTGGCGAAAGGACAAATAAACGACACTTAAGGGCGAAAAATAATAAAAACTGAAAATAAAATCAATAACACTGGCGTGCAAAAGTCCCCGGCTAGCATATTATTATTTTAATTACAATAAAAATTCTATGTATTTTAAAAAAAATTAAATATTTTTTTAATGATAATGTGTAGTATTTTTAGATTCAATCTCTATATAAAAAGCTGTTTATACAAGCGTAATGCGAACCTCATTGTGCCTAAACTAGCATAGTTACATTTGACATTGTTTCAAGCTTGCATGGTTTAGTTGCAAATCATTTATAAACCTTGTTGAGATTGTTGATAAAGGTTGCTGCTATATTAAAATCAATCTTACAAAGCTATCTAGGTATTCACTAAAAAGCGTTAGTTCATCTCATGCCAGATCCTTCGAAGATATCATTTAAGAACCTCATTATAGAGCCTTAAAAGATTTTTTTTTATTCCAGTATTGTTGTTTTTAGTTATTGAACTTGAAGGACATTTGGCTTAGGCACATGTGTAGTACCTATTTTCCTATATGAGAAAAAGTTCTTATTGTATATATCGTGCTTTAAAGTCGTGTAGTTTTTTTCTACCTTTTTTTTGGTTTCCAACCTAGCACTGCTTTATTACGTTTTTTTATTTGAAGTAATAAAAAAAAAATCCTTTTCATAAAAGAGTTGATTTTTCCCCCTGAAATCTCAAGAGGGAAAGGGGTATACCGAAATTACCTAAGAGAGGCCCTTAAGGAATTGGGAAAAAAAAGCATGTATTGTCGTTTGCGCACCCTTTTTCCCATTCACCTTTTAAAGGTAGTGTACAAAGGTGAATATCCCTTCTTTTAGACAGCTGCTACTTTGAAGGTATGTTTTGCACCTTACAGGTGACAAGTGATACATAAGAACGGGTTAAGGATATTAACCCTTAAAGGGCATCGACTTGAATCTTACGTCAAGTGTTATAAGTTGTTATATTCCTCTAAACTATAAACCTTTATAGAGATAAAAACTAAGTGATAATTCGGCGAAATAAATATCTTTAAATTTTCAATAGAACAATGCATTTGTGTGGCTCCTTTAAGAAAACCTACAATGTGTAGTTTTTGCTACAACTGATTTTCTCTAGTTTCATATTCTTCTGCACTCTTTCCCATAGTTTTCTACTGTTTTAGCTATTGTGCTACAACATATTCTTTACTATTCTTTAAGAATTAATAATAAGTTATTTATTACTATTCTTTAAGAATAATAAGTTATTTATTGTTCCGGATCTCACTCTCTCTTTTTCATCTTTCTACAATACCATCAGTGTTAGATTGACAAAGTGATAATTCGGCGAAATAAATATCTTCAAATTTTCAGTAGAACAATGCATTTGTGTGGCTCCTTTAAGAAAACTTACTATGTGTAGTTTTTGCTACAACTGATTTTCTCTAGTTGTTTCAGATTCTTCTGCACTTACAATAGTTTTCTACTGTTTTAGCTATTGTGCTATTACATATTCTTTAAGAATTAGTAATGAAATATTTATTTCTATTCTTTAAGAATTATTAATAAATTATTTATTGTTCCAGATCTCTCTCTCACTTTTTCATATTTCTACAATACAATCAGTGTTAGAC